AATGGCACCCTATTCCCTCTGGAGTGCACTACTTTCTGCCCTGATCTATGGGCCCTGGTCAAAAGTAGTGCACTATGTAGGGAATAGGGTGCCATTTGGGACGTGCTCCCAGAGAAGGAAGAGAAGGCGTGATTTATGGCCTTGTTAAAGAGAGCCTTTCCAACCCCTCCTCAACATATGCTCCTGGACTTGTGTATTTAAGATCCTTTACTGAGATTTAAAACTCGTGCCCATCACGCATCATGTTAAGATCCTTTACTGAGATTTAAAAGCGGGTAATAAAACGTGCTTCATGCTGAACTGGTCTCTACTTTCTATCTGGAGTCACTTTTCTTATTGTACTAGTAGAGCAGCCAGGTTAGTGAGACGGAGCATGGTATTTATTGTGCCTTTAGTCCCAAATGGCACACTATTCCCTTTGTAGTGCACAATATAGGGTGACATTTAGGACGCACTCTGTGTTTTCCAGGCACAAATCAAGTTGGAATGCCATGTTGTTTGGAGTTTTTAATATGTGTTTATACAGCGCTAGTGGTGGTGGGATAACGTTGTGTTGTGGGAAGAGGTCAGAAGGTGGCTGGGTCTCCACGGACGGCAATGCTGTATGGCTTCAGGGCGGCAGGTAGCCTAGCGGTTAGCACGGTGTTCGAATACCCAGACAAATGGACAAAGTGAAAAATCTGTCAATGAGGCCTTGAACAAGGCACTTAACCCTAATTTGCTCCAGAAGTTTTACAGTCTGCACAGACTTAACTCTTCGGTCTACACAGTGAGGACAGGACACAATGTCATGTTGTGTGATCTGGTCTCCTAGTAATGTCAGGAACCATGGTATTGTTTGACAGTTTAGGAATAGGTTGGTATAGAGTAGTGACCGTATGCTGCAAACAGGTTTTCTGTTTCAAGCTTGGCTAATATTTGGTATTGGGCAATTCCACGTTAAAATGAATTACGCTCAGACAGTTTTTCCCTTTAAAATGTATGCCAAACTATTTTCTACATTGTAGAATAATAGTGAATATATCAAAACTATGAAATAACACATTTGGAATCATGTAGTAACCAAAAAAGTGTTAAACAAATCAAATATATTTTATATTTGAGATTCCTCAAAGAGCCACCCTTTGCCTGGATGACAGCTTTGCACACTATTGGCATTCTCTCAACCAGCTTCATGAAGTAGTCACCTGGAATGCATTTCAATTAACAGGTGTGCCTTGTTAAAAGTTAATTTGTGGAATTTATTTTCTTCTTAATGCGTTTGAGCCAATAAGTTATGTTGTGACAAGGTAGGGGTGGTATACAGAAGTGGCAAGAACTGCTCAAATAAGCAAAGCGAAATGACAGTCCATCATTACTTTAAGACATGAAGGTCAGTTAATGCGGAAAATGTCTATAACTTTTAAAGTTTCTTCAAGTGCAGTCGCAAAAACCATCAAGCGCTATGATGAAACTGACTCTCATGAGGACCACCACAGGAATGGAAGACCCAGAGTTACCTATACAGCAGAGGATAAGTTCATTAGAGTTACCAGTCTCAGAAATTGCAGCCAAAATAAATGCTTCACAGAGTTCAAGTAACAGACACATCTCAACATCAACTGTTCAGAGGGGACTGTGTGAATCAGGCCTTCATGGTCGAATTGCTGCAAAGAAACCACTACTAAAGGACACCAATAATAAGAGACATGCTTGGGCCAAGAAACACGAGCAATGGACATTAGACCGGTGAAAATGTGTCTTTTGGTCTGGAGTCCAAATTGGAGATTTTTGGTTCCAACCGCCGTGTTTTTGTGAGACGCGGTGTGGGTGAATGGATGATCTACGCATGTGTAGTTCCCATCGTAAAGCATGGAGGAGGAGGTGTTATGGTGTGGGGGTGCTTTGCTGGTGACACTGTCTGTGATTTATTTAGAATTCAAGGCACACTTAACCAGCATGGCTACCACAGCATTCTGCAGTGATACGCCATCCCAACAAGTGGACCAGAGTGCTCAGAATATGTGGGAACTCCTTCAAGACTGTTGGAAAAGCATTCCAGGTGAAGCTGGGTGAGAGAATGCCAAGAGTGTGCAACGCTGTCATCAAGGCAAAGGGTGGCTGTTTGTAGAATCTCAAATATAAAATATATTTTGATTTGTTTAACACTTTTTTTTTGGTTGCTACATGATTCCATATGTGTTATTTCATAGTTTTGATGTCTTCATTATTATTCTACAATATAGAAAATAGTTTTTAAAAAATAAAGAAAAACCCTTGAATGAGTAGGTGTGTCCAAACTTTTGGCTGGTACTGAAGGTTATTCTAAAACAACGTAATGTATCTAATGCAGAAATGTTTATTAAGACTCCATAAGTACTGCTATGATCAGTTTGAAGTAAATCACCAGTGTATCCCATTGTACAAATAGTATTCAAGACCCAGGTCAGCTGTTGAATCATGAAACTGTAGCATGGACATTGTTATGTAACTTTGAACAAACTAATGATTCATTTCCAGTCATGTGGGTACTAATCACTAATCACTCCCTATGAGAGCGCAATATGGGTCAAGCACCCATCAAAAGCTTTACATAAGCTCTTACCCTGCTCCAGTTTGCTAACAACAAGTTCTGGGGTCCCTGGTACTTCGAAACATCCAAACTAGTGTGGAGTTAATCTTTAGTACTTGAATCTATCTGTAATATGTTGAGAGATTGTGGTATTGTGGTCCTACATCAGACACACTCTTTTCTCCCTTGTAGAGGAAAAGCAAAGTGAAAGAGGAAGAGAAAACGGTGAAGGAGGTCAACAACCATCAAGATGGAGGAGGTGAGTGGTGTGGTTTCCTGTTGTGTTTTACATTTACATTTACGTCATTTAGCAGACGCTCTTATCCAGAGCGACTTACAAATAGGAGCATTCACCCTATAGCCAGTGGGATAACCACTTTACTATATATATATATATATATATATATATATATATATATATATATATATATATATATATATATATATATATATATATCTATTTATTTTATATATATATATATATATATCTATATATATATATATATATATATTTTATATATATATTTTATATATATATATATATATTTTATGGGGGGGGGTAGAAGGATTACTTTATCCTATCCCAGGTATTCCTTAAAGAGGTGGGGTTTCAAATGTCTCTGGAAGGTGGTGAGTGACTCCGCTGTCCTGGCGTCGTGAGGGGAGCTTGTTCCACCATTGGGGTGCCAGAGCAGCGAACAGTTTTGACTGGGCTGAGCGGGAACTATGCTTCCGCAGAGGAAGGGGAGCCAGCAGGCCAGAGGTGGATGAACGCAATGCCCTCGTTTGGGTGTAGGGACTGATCAGAGCCTGAAGGTACGGAGGTGCCGTTCCCCTCACAGCTCCATAGGCAAGCACCATGGTCTTGTAACAGATGCGAGCTTCAACTGGAAGCCAGTGGAGTGTGCGGAGGAGGGGGGTGACGTGAGAGAACTTGGGAAGGTTGAACACCAGACGGGCTGCGGCATTCTGGATGAGTTGTAGGGGTTTAATGGCACAGGCAGGGAGCCCAGCCAACAGCCAGTTGCAGTAATCCAGACGGGAGATGACAAGTGCCTGGATTAGGACCTGTGCCGCTTCCTGTGTAAGGCAGGGTCGTACTCTCCGAATGTTGTAGAGCATGAACCTGCAGGATCGGGTCACCGCCTTGATGTTAGCGGAGAACGACAGGGTGTTGTCCAGGGTCACGCCAAGGCTCTTCGCACTCTGGGAGGAGGACACAACGGAGTTGTCAACCGTGATGGCGAGATCATGGAACGGGCAGTCCTTCCCCGGGAGGAAGAGCAGCTCCGTCTTGCCAGGGTTCAGCTTGAGGTGGTGATCCGTCATCCATACTGATATGTCTGCCAGACATGCAGAGATGCGATTCGCCACCTGGTTATCAGAAGGGGGAAGGAGAAGATTAGTTGTGTATCGTCAGCGTAGCAATGATAGGAGACGCCATGTGAGGATATGACAGAGCCAAGTGACTTGGTGTATAGGGAGAAAAGGAGAGGGCCTAGAACTGAGCCCTGGGGGACACCAGTGGTGAGAGCACGTGGTGCGGAGACAGCTTCTCGCCACGCCACTTGGTAGGAGCGACCGGTCAGGTAGGACGCAATCCCCAGCTCGGAGAGGGTGGAGAGGAGGATCTGATGGTTCACAGTATCAAAGGCAGCAGACAGGTCTAGAAGGACAAGAGCAGAGGAGAGAGAGTTAGCTTTAGCAGTGCGGAGAGCCTCCGTGACACAGAGAAGGGCAGTCTCAGTTGAATGACCAGTCCTGAAACCTAACTGGTTTGGATCAAGAAGGTCATTCTGAAAGAGATAGCAAGAGAGTTGGCTAAAGACGGCACGCTCAATAGTTTTGGAAAGAAAAGAAAGAAGGGATACTGGTCTGTAGTTGTTGACATCAGGGGATCGAGTGTTGGCTTTTTGAGAAGGGGTGCAACTCTCGCTCTCTTGAAGACGGAAGGGACATAGCCAGCGGTCAAGGATGAGTTGATCAGCGAGGTGAGGTAGGGGAGAAGGTCACCGGAGATGGTCTGGAGAAGAGAGGAGGGGATGGGGTCAAGCGGGCAGGTTGTTGGGCGGCCTGCAGTCACAAGTCGCAAGATTTTATCTGGAGAGAGAGGGGAGAAAGAAGTCAAAGCATAGGGTAGGGCAGTGTGAGCAGGACCAGCAGTGTCATTAGACTTAACAAACGAGGATCGGATGTCGTCAACCTTCTTTTCAAAGTGGTTGACGAAGTCATCCACAGAGAGAGAGGAGGGGGGGGGGGAGGGGGGGGGGGGGGGATTCAGCAGGGAGGAGAATGTGGCAAAGAGCTTCCTAGGGTTAGAGGCAGATGTAGACTGACAGAAAACGGTGAAGGGGGTCAACAACCATCAAGATGGAGGAGGTGAGTGGTGTAGTTTCCTGTTGTGTTGTAGACTGACAGAAAACGGTGAAGGGGGTCAACAACCATCAAGATGGAGGAGGTGAGTGGTGTGGTTTCCTGTTGTGTTGTAGACTGACAGAAAACGGTGAAGGGGGTCAACAACCATCAAGATGGAGGAGGTGAGTGGTGTGGTTTCCTGTTGTGTTGTAGACTGATACTGACAGAAAACGGTGAGGGAGCTCAACAACCATCAAGATGGTGGAGGTGAGTGGTGTGGTTTCCTGTTGTGTTGTAGACTGACACACTGTGACTGTGTACCCCTCTCCTACTGCTTGTCAGATTGTCTTTATTACGTCTCTGATTCAGAGGGTTTTACACATCACACTGTAGTATTAGGCCGAACTAATAACCTGTACATAATAACTGTGCTCCTGTATGGCTCGGTTGGTAGAGCGTAGCAATGCCAGAATTGTGGGTGTGATTCCCGGGGCAGTCCATACATAACAAATGAATGCATGCATGACTAAGCCACTTAGCGTCTGCTAAATGGCATAAAATATCGAAATGTTTTAAACGATACATTTTGTCATGATCCCGGGTGGGTTCAAACGATGTCACTACACCCCAGAAACTGGTTGGAATTACTGATTTTAAAGTGACATCATAATGACTTAATTTCAACCAGTCAGTTTTTGGATGCTGAGATGGCCCTGGTAAACACTGATGTGTCAACACTGTACTGTCTGCATTAGAATACTCAACAGGTACTGGCTTGTGTACTCTGTTGTACTCGTAAGTGTTCTCTGTTGCCATGTAATTATGGGTCTCAGGGTCATGCCTTCAACAACTGCCTGAGTGAACAAGACTGTGTTAGCCTAGCCTAGCCTGCTGAGCTAGAACCTAGGCATTAACTATGGGAGCTAACACAAGTCTCCATGTCTCAAAGGTCAATCATCACTGGGAACACGGTTCACCAAACTACTCCATTACATGAGTTCCTCAGAAGTTGGACCGGAGCTTTTCCCCCCACACATATCAGAGTAGCTATGACGTAGTATATTCTACTGGTGTTGTACTGAGTCTAGTCAGACCGATTGAGGTAGTATATTGTACTGAGTCTAGTCAGACCGATTGAGGTAGTATATTGTACTGAGTCTAGTCAGACCGATTGAGGTAGTATATTGTACTGAGTCTGACCAGTAAAGGTTGCAGCCAGGTCTGGTTTGGTTCAACCCCCATGCCAGCTACATGATGTGATCTCACCAGGAAATGGCTGAATCACGCAGCACTCAGGACTAAGCAGTAGGCAAAGACTGGGGAACTGGACAATATACATGATAGAAATGTTGTGAATAGAGCTGACGTGATTTCTTATCCTACATGTCTACATAATAGATTTCTATCTGAGCATTCCATGCCATGGGTCGTATTCAGGTACATTGTAACATAGCGAACGTCGAATTTTGCCCTGTAAAATAATAATTTTGTTATCGGACATGCTCAGGTGTTCCCTCCCTGTTTGTCTGTTTTCTTCAGTTTGTTACCTACTGAATAGCTACAACCCTGGTATCCCCTCCTCTAGGTAAAGTCCCTCTGGAGGAGCTGAACGTGGGTCTAGAAACAGAGAAGCAGCCGGGTCAGTATGCGTGGCAGCTGAAGATCCTACGGGAGGTGCTGTCTGCCTCTGGGACCCAGGAGAGGGAGGAGCTACTAAAAGAGACAACCCAAGGAGAGCTCTGTGCCCTGGTCCACAACATCACTGAGAAGGTAGTTAACCCCATAGAGAGCTCTGGTCCACAACATCACTGAGAAGGTAGTTAACCCCATAGAGAGCTCTGGTCCACAACATCACTGAGAAGGTAGTTAACCCCATAGAGAGCTCTGTTCCCTGGTCCACAACATCACTGAGAAGGTAGCTAACCCCATAGAGAGCTCTGTTCCACAACATCACTGAGAAGGTAGCTAACCCCATAGAGAGCTCTGTGCCACAACATCACTGAGAAGGTAGCTAACCTCATAGAGAGCTTTGGTCCACAACATCACTGAGAAGGTAGCTAACCCCATAGAGAGCTCTGTTCCACAACATCACTGAGAAGGTAGCTAACCCCATAGAGAGCTTTGGTCCACAACATCACTGAGAAGGTAGCTAACCCCATAGAGAGCTCTGTTCCACAACATCACTGAGAAGGTAATTAACCCCATAGAGAGCTCTGTGCCACAACATCACTGAGAAGGTAGCTAACCCCATAGAGAGCTTTGGTCCACAACATCACTGAGAAGGTAGCTAACCCCATAGAGAGCTTTGGTCCACAACATCACTGAGAAGGTAGCTAACCCCATAGAGAGCTCTGTTCCACAACATCACTGAGAAGGTAGCTAACCCCATAGAGAGCTTTGGTCCACAACATCACTGAGAAGGTAGCTAACCCCATAGAGAGCTCTGTTCCACAACATCACTGAGAAGGTAGCTAACCCCATAGAGAGCTTTGGTCCACAACATCACTGAGAAGGTAGCTAACCCCATAGAGAGCTCTGTTCCACAACATCACTGAGAAGGTAGCTAACCCCATAGAGAGCTTTGGTCCACAACATCACTGAGAAGGTAGCTAACCCCATAGAGAGCTCTGTTCCACAACATCACTGAGAAGGTAGCTAACCCCATAGAGAGCTTTGGTCCACAACATCACTGAGAAGGTAGCTAACCCCATAGAGAGCTTTGGTCCACAACATCACTGAGAAGGTAGCTAACCCCATAGAGAGCTTTGGTCCACAACATCACTGAGAAGGTAGCTAACCCCATAGAGAGCTCTGTTCCACAACATCACTGAGAAGGTAGCTAACCCCATAGAGAGCTCTGTGCCCTGTTCCACAACATCACTGAGAAGGTAGCTAACCCCATAGAGAGCTTTGGTCCACAACATCACTGAGAAGGTAGCTAACCCAATAGAGAGCTTTGGTCCACAACATCACTGAGAAAGTAGCTAACCCCATAGAGAGCTCTGTTCCACAACATCACTGAGAAGGTAGCTAACCCCATAGAGAGCTCTGTTCCACAACATCACTGAGAAGGTAGCTAACCCCATAGAGAGCTTTGGTCCACAACATCACTGAGAAGGTAGCTAACCCCATAGAGAGCTCTGTGCCACAACATCACTGAGAAGGTAGCTAACCCCATAGAGAGCTTTGGTCCACAACATCACTGAGAAGGTAGCTAACCCCATAGAGAGCTCTGTTCCACAACATCACTGAGAAGGTAGCTAACCCCATAGAGAGCTTTGGTCCACAACATCACTGAGAAGGTAGCTAACCCCATAGAGAGCTCTGTTCCACAACATCACTAAGAAGGTAGCTAACCCCATAGAGAGCTTTGGTCCACAACATCACTGAGAAGGTAGCTAACCCCATAGAGAGCTCTGTTCCACAACATCACTGAGAAGGTAGCTAACCCCATAGAGAGCTTTGGTCCAAACATCACTGAGAAGGTAGCTAACCCCATAGAGAGCTCTGTTCCACAACATCACTGAGAAGGTAGCTAACCCCATAGAGAGCTTTGGTCCACAACATCACTGAGAAGGTAGCTAACCCCATAGAGAGCTTTGGTCCAAAACATCACTGAGAAGGTAGCTAACCCCATAGAGAGCTTTGGTCCACAACATCACTGAGAAGGTAGCTAACCCAATAGAGAGCTCTGTGCCCTGGTCCACAACATCACTGAGAAGGTAGCTAACCCCATAGAGAGCTTTGGTCCACAACATCACTGAGAAGGTAGCTAACCCCATAGAGAGCTCTGTTCCACAACATCACTGAGAAGGTAGCTAACCCCATAGAGAGCTTTGGTCCACAACATCACTGAGAAGGTAGCTAACCCCATAGAGAGCTTTGGTCCACAACATCACTGAGAAGGTAGCTAAACCCATAGAGAGCTTTGGTCCACAACATCACTGAGAAGGTAGCTAACCCCATAGAGAGCTCTGTTCCACAACATCACTGAGAAGGTAGCTAACCCCATAGAGAGCTTTGGTCCACAACATCACTGAGAAGGTAGCTAACCCCATAGAGAGCTTTGGTCCACAACATCACTGAGAAGGTAGCTAACCCCATAGAGAGCTTTGGTCCACAACATCACTGAGAAGGTAGCTAAACCCATAGAGAGCTTTGGTCCACAACATCACTGAGAAGGTAGCTAACCCCATAGAGAGCTCTGTTCCACAACATCACTGAGAAGGTAGCTAACCCCATAGAGAGCTTTGGTCCACAACATCACTGAGAAGGTAGCTAACCCCATAGAGAGCTTTGGTCCATAACATCAAGAAGGTAGCTAACCCCATAGAGAGCTTTGGTCCACAACATCACTGAGAAGGTAGCTAACCCCATAGAGAGCTTTGGTCCACAACATCACTGAGAAGGTAGCTAACCCCATAGAGAGCTCTGTTCCACAACATCACTGAGAAGGTAGCTAACCCCATAGAGAGCTTTGGTCCACAACATCACTGAGAAGGTAGCTAACCCCATAGAGAGCTTTGGTCCACAACATCACTGAGAAGGTAGCTAACCCCATAGAGAGCTTTGGTCCACAACATCACTGAGAAGGTAGCTAACCCCATAGAGAGCTCTGTTCCACAACATCACTGAGAAGGTAGCTAACCCCATAGAGAGCTTTGGTCCACAACATCACTGAGAAGGTGGCTAACCCCATAGAGAGCTTTGGTCCACAACATCACTGAGAAGGTAGCTAACCCCATAGAGCTTTGGTCCACAACATCACTGAGAAGGTAGCTAACCCCATAGAGAGCTTTGGTCCACAACATCACTGAGAAGGTAGCTAACCCCATAGAGAGCTCTGTTCCACAACATCACTGAGAAGGTAGCTAACCCCATAGAGAGCTTTGGTCCACAACATCACTGAGAAGGTAGCTAACCCCATAGAGAGCTTTGGTCCACAACATCACTGAGAAGGTAGTTAACCCCATAAAGAGCTTTGGTCCACAACATCACTGAGAAGGTAGCTAACCCCATAGAGAGCTTTGGTCCACAACATCACTGAGAAGTTAGCTAACCCCATAGAGAGCTTTGGTCCACAACATCACTGAGAAGGTAGCTAACCCCATAAGAGAGCTTTGGTCCACAACATCACTGAGAAGGTAGCTAACCCCATAGAGAGCTCTGTTCCCTGGTCCACAGCATCACTGAGAAGGTAGATATTAACTGCTAGCCCACTTCCCTAACCCTCAGCTCACTGATGGAGAAGAGGTTTGGGAACATTAGTCTATGTAACCCCAGCTAGTGTTTTACCTCCAACCCTTCATATACTGTTTACCATATACCTATACCCTGTACCATTTACATTCACCATATACTATATACCCTGTACCATTTACAGGTCACCAGGATACTATATACCTGTACCATTTACATTCACCATATACTATATACCCTGTACCATTTTACATTCACCATATACTATATACCATACCATTTATAACTTCACCACTACTTATACCCTGTACCCTTACATTCAACCATATACTAATATCCTATCCATTTACATGCACCCATATACTATAGTACCCTGTAACACCATATACTAATACCTGGTACCATTACATTAAACCATATACTGAGATACCTATACCATTGAAATCACCATAAGATTATGACCCTGACCATTACATCACCAGTATACATATAATCCTAACCATTTACATTCACCATATACTATGAGTACCCTGTACCATGTTTACATTCACCATATACCATAGTACTATATACCATATACCATTTACATTCACCATAATACTATATACCCTGTACCATTTACATTCACCATATACTATAGTACCCTGTACCATTTACATTCACCATACAATACCATACCATTTACATTCACCATATACTATATACCCTGTACCATTTACATTCACCATATACTATATACCAATACCATTTACATTCACCATATACTATATACCCTGTACCATTTACATTCACCATATACTATATACCTGTACCATTTACATTCGACTATATACCCTGTACCATTTACATTCACCATATACCATATACTATATACCTATACCATTTACATTCACCATATACTATATACCCTGTACCATTTACATTCACCATATACCATATACTATATACCCTGTACCATTTACATTCACCATATACTATATACCTATACCATTTACATTCACCATATACTATATACCCTGTACCATTTACATTCACCATATACTATATACCCTGTACCATTTACATTCACCATATACTATATACCTATACCATTTACATTCACCATATACTATATACCCTGTACCATTTACATTCACCATATACTATATACCATACCATTTACATTCACCATATACTATATACCCTGTACCATTTACATTCACCATATACTATATACCTGTACCATTTACATTGACTATATACCCTGTACCATTTACATTCACCATATACCATATACTATATACCTATACCATTTACATTCACCATATACTATATACCCTGTACCATTTACATTCACCATATACTATATACCATTTACATTCACCATATACCATATACTATATACCCTGTACCATTTACATTCACCATATACCATATACTATATACCCTGTACCATTTACATTCACCATATACCATATACCCTTTCCACACTACTGAGCAGAGCCACCTCTACTGTGTTGGCCTGGTTATACAGCATATCCACCATAGTTGCCGGAACTGGGTTGGAGAGGACAAGGTGAAAAGAAAATATCCATGCCAATGCCGTATAGTTGGCACAGGGTTGGTACGATAGTATTAATTAGTGTGAACCACAAAGCCACTACTACGGCATATCTGGGCATTATTATTACTAAGCAGATCATCTGCTCTTCCTACAGGATTACATTGGGATTCGCATATTAATGACAGTGTCTTACACGAAGAACCTGGTTAGCCTTTTGAATTGAGGTCTCATGGTGGATGCGTCCCAAATGGTTTGAGGTCTCGTAGTGGATGCGTCCCAAATGGTTTGAGGTCTCATAGTGGATGCGTCCCAAATGGTTTGAGGTCTCGTAGTGAATGCGTCCCAAATGGTTTGAGGTCTCATGGTGGATGCGTCCCAAATGGTTTGAGGTCTCATAGTGAATGCGTCCCAAATGGTTTGAGGTCTCGTAGTGGATGCGTCCCAAATGGTTTGAGGTCTCGTAGTGGATGCGTCCCAAATGGTTTGAGGTCTCGTAGTGGATGCGTCCCAAATGGTTTGAGGTCTCATAGTGGATGCGTCCCAAATGGTTTGAGGTCTCATAGTGGATGCGTCCCAAATGGTTTGAGGTCTCGTAGTGGATGCGTCCCAAATGGCACCCTATACCCTATATAGTCCCTATGGGCCCTGGTCAAAAGTAGTGCACTACATGGAGAATAGGGTGCCATTTGGGACGTCGCCCCATGTTTCCAGGACGTGCAGCTTCACGTCGGAGCGACTGAATACAGGATAACCAGAGCAGCACAGTAACATGATGTCAAGTCATATATTATACAGCTGTCAGAGAAAATAAACACATGCTTTTCCATTACACAATCTCTGGGAACACTACCTATTTGGTGTGTGTGTGTGTGTGTGTGTGTGTGTGTGTGTGTGTGTGTGTGTGTGTGTGTGTGTGTGTGTGTGTGTGTGTGTGTGTGTTGTGATGCCCCTGTGACTGACTACAGTGTGTGTGTGTGTGTGTGTGTGTGTGTGTGTGTGTGTGTGTGTGTGTGTGTGTGTGTGTGTGTGTGTGTGTGTGGTGTGTTGTGATGCCCTGTGACTGACTACAGTGTGTGTGTGTGTGTGTGTGTGTGTGTGTGTGTGTGTGTGTGTGTGTGTGTGTGTGTGTGTGTGTGTGTGTGTACTTGTGTGACTGCCTGCATAGTGCTCTGGCGTGTCTGACCATGGACTTGTAAACCTCCTGTCAACAGAGCTAGGTTGTGTCCCCAATGGCACCCTATCCCATAGGGCTCTGGTCAAAAGTAGTGATCCGTGTAGGGAATAGGGGGTACTTTGGGACGCAGCACTAGACCTGTTTGGCTGCTCTGGCATCAGAATGCCTTTCCAGAAGGGGGGAAAAAGGTGTTGATTTGTGCAAACATAGTCTTGGGAGGCATGTTGGTTTATGGTGTATTGAGTGATGGGGGGGGTTGGTAGCAGCCAGTTGGAGTGTTCCAGCCGTACATAGTATGTGTCATCTGTAGTGATCCGTGGTAAGAGTGATAGGGGGTCACTTGGATATACACGTAGAGCATGGTTATGGCTGGGTCATCTGGATTTTACAACATGGTAACAGTGGTTATGTTGGGTCACTATTAGTACACTGGAGAGCAGTGAGTTTATGGCTGGGTCATCTGGTATATCCCTGGTAGAGCGGAGTTGGTGCACCGTTATGGATTGTTATGTCGTCTCTTTACACACATGGTAGGGTCAAGTTGATATACACCTGTAAGCATGATTATGGCTGGGTCATCTGGTATTATACACTGTGAGCTGGTTATGCGGTATGATTACATGTAGAGCATGAGTTATGGCTGGGTCATCTGGTATTATACACCTGGTAGAGCAGTGAGTTATGGCTGGGTCATCTGGTATTATACACCTGGTAGAGCAGTGAGTTATGGCTGGGTCATCTGGTATTATACACCTGGTAGAGCAGTGAGTTATGGCTGGGTCATCTGGTGTTATACACCTGGTAGAGCAGTGAGTTATGGCTGGGTCATCTGGTATTATACACCTGGTAGAGCAGTGAGTTATGGCTGGGTCATCTGGTGTTATACACCTGGTAGAGCAGTGAGGTATGGCTGGGTCATTTGGTATTTTATACACCTGGTAGAGCAGTGAGTTATGGCTGGGTCATCTGGTATTATACACCTGGTAGAGCAGTGAGTTATGGCTGGGTCATCTGGTATTATACACCTGGTAGAGCAGTGAGTTATGGCTGGGTCATCTGGTATTATACACCTGGTAGAGCAGTGAGTTATGGCTGGGTCATCTGGTATTATACACCTGGTAGAGCAGTGAGTTATGGCTGGGTCATCTGGTATTATACACCTGGTAGAGCAGTGAGTTATGGCTGGGTCATCTGGTATTATACACCTGGTAGAGCAGCGAGTTATGGCTGGGTCATCTGGTATTATACACCTGGTAGAGCAGTGAGTTATGGCTGGGTCATCTGGTGTTATACACCTGGTAGAGCAGCGAGTTATGACTGGGTCATCTGGTATTATACACCTGGTAGAGCAGCGAGTTATGGCTGGGTCATCTGGTATTATACACCTGGTAGAGCAGTGAGTTATGGCTGGGTCATCTGGTATTATACACCTGGTAGAGCAGTGAGTTATGGCTGGGTCATCTGGTATTATACACCTGGTAGAGCAGTGAGGTATGGCTGGGTCATCTGGTATTATACACCTGGTAGAGCAGTGAGTTATGGCTGGGTCATCTGGTGTTATACACATGGTAGAGCAGTGAGGTATGGCTGGGTCATCTGGTATTATACACTTGTTTTGTTTATATAACATAAATATCTCACTGTTTGTTTTTATAGTTGATATTCACATAGTCTAGCTCCTATGACCAGTGTGGATGTACATGGCTAAACCCTGTCCTTATGTTCTCGCTGATCTCCAGGTGAAGACAGAGACGGCTGCTGACCTGACTGTTCTCCATGGGGAGGCGAGCCAGAGGACCACAGAGCAGCACGAGAGACAGCTGGAAGGCAAGACTAGAGCTGTGAAATAACTTCTGGATCTAGATCTAATAACCAAAGACTAGAGCTGTGAAATAACTTCTGGATCTAGATCTAATAACCAAAGACTAGAGCTGTGAAATAACTTCTGGATCTAGATCTAATAACCAAAGACTAGAGCTGTGAAATAACTTCTGGATCTAGATCTAATAACCAAAGACTAGAGCTGTGAAATAACTTCTGGATCTAGATCTAATAACCAAAGACTAGAGCTGTGAAATAACTTCTGGATCTAGATCTAATAACCAAAGACTAGAGCTGTGAAATAACTTCTGGATCTAGATCTAATAACCAAAGACTAGAGCTGTGAAATAACTTCTGGATCTAGATCTAATAACCACGTTGATTCTGTTGGAACTGCTTCTAGACTGCTAAATGACTCAAATGTAAAATGTAGAATGAGTAATCGTTGACTGATGTTATCCCGGCCCGTAGAATTACATATAGAATCCCTGTTATCCCCCACAGAACTGCAGGGGATACACAGTGAAGAGACGACACGGCTAACAGCCACCCACCAGGCAGCTGAGAAAGTGTTGAAGGTGTGTGTGTTTAGTTGTCGTTTTTAACTTATCCGTTTTGATCACCTGTTTTGATTTACTGTGGTCTATACAGTATCCCCTACCTTCTAACTGTGTAATAGGAAGTACAGTACTGACCAGTAGGTTTTCTTTTGAAGGACGAGGTAGAGGAGCTGACTGCAGAGCTACATGTGTACAATGAGTTAAAGAAGAGAGTTGAGGAGTCTACCTTCAAGAAGGACCTGCAGCGGAACATTCAGGTGTGTGTGTGTGTGTGTTTGTGTGTGTGTGTGTGTGTGTGTGTTGTGTGTGTGTGTGTGTGTGTGTGTGTGTGTGTGTGTGGTGTGTGTGTGTGTGTGTGTGTGTGTGTGTGTGTGTGTGTGTGTGTTGTGTGTGTGTGTGTGTGTGTGTGTGTGTGTGTGTGTGCGTCTGCACAGTGGGTCTGTTTCTACATGCTGTGTGCATGATCCCATAACAAGTTCACTTAGTTGGACTGTTGCTTTAGACATCTGGTCTCCAGGTCTCATTAGGATGCTGTTGATTTTATACTCTTCCCCTCCCCTCCTCTCTCCATCTCCCTCTCTCCCCTCCTCTCTCCTTCTCCCTCACTCTCCTTCTCCCTCTCCCCCCTCCCCTCTCTCCTCCCCTCCTCTCTCCTTCTCCCTCTCCTCCCTCCTCTCTCCTTCTCCCTCTCTCCCCTCCCCCTCCTCTCTCTCCTTCTCCCTCTCCCTCCCTCCCTCCTCTCTCCTTCTCCCTCTCTCTCCTCCCCCTCCTCTCTCCCCTCCCGTCCTCTCTCCTTCTCCCTCTCTCCCCTCCTCTCTCCTTCTCCCTCTCTCTCTCCAGGCCCATGGCAGTCCTGGGCCGTTCTGGGAGCGGGAGCAGGAGAGTCTGCTGTTTGTCATTGAAATGAAGCGTGAGCGTATTCAGGAGCAGGGGAACAAACTGCTCCAGATGCAGGCTCTGGTAGGGAACAGGGACTGGGACTTGGACTGGGGACTGGCTGATTTTCTCCTAGTCAAATTCATGTCAAAGTTTATTTAAAGTGCATCATCACAGTCTCAATACACTTTGCAGAGGAAATGAAACAGAAACAAGAAATCTTAGATGCTCTGCGCTGTCAAAAAATACTCTGGGTTATAGTCTGTGAATTTCAACATGTCGTCTTTACCACCATGATTGGTGAATTTCATTTCTTTTTATTTCTACCATGTCAGGTGGAGAAGAATCTCTCTCTAGAAGACCAGGTCATAAATGTTCTACAGCAGAATGAGGACCTGAGGGTTCGGATCGACAACCATCAAAGCCTTGTACAGTAAGACCTGCTGCTGCTTGTCATGTGATATCCACACCGTCTCTGTCTCTGTTGGAATGTTCAGTTACCCTGGAGATAATGTTGTTAGGACTGTACCAGGAAGTCACATTGTAGAAGACTACATGGCAACAAGGCTGTAAATAGATGAACAGACCTAACAAGTGTTTGAACAAACAAACATAATAAGTTCTGTTCAATCAAACTCAAATTTAAGAAAACGGCTATGGCATTTACATAAGATGTGAATGTGGCGCCACTTGGTGGAGAAAGTGGTAGGGATATTTCTTAGAGGAAGCAAGTTATGGCGGTTTACAAGACTTTAGTGCAAAAGTGAAATTTCGCCATAGAAACTTGTGTAATTACCTCCTTTTTTATATGAAAGTATATAGCTTTAATTTATATAGCTGCTGGATGGCTTTATGGTGCTGCTTCTACTTATGTAAAGCCTTTACACATGGAGGATTTTGATGAAGAACAGTGATTTGAGGTCAGCAAAAGATTGATAAAATATACTTAGCTACAGATTCGTTTTTGTAGCTCGTTATAAATGTATTTCTGTCCTAAACTATCAATGTTGTTATACAGTGCATTCTGAAAGTATTCAGACCCCTTTACTTTTTCCACATTTGTTACATTACAGCCTTATTCTAAAATTGATTAAATCATTCTCATCAATCTACACACAATACCCCATAATGACTAAGCAAAAACAGTTTTTTAGACATTTTTGTACATTTATATATATATATATATATTTTAAAAAAGATCACATTTTATATAAGTATTCAGACCCTTTACTCAGTACTTTGTTGAAGCAGTCTTCTTGGGTATGACACTACAAGCTTGGCACACCTGTATTTGGGGAGTTTCTCCCATTCTTCTCTGCAGATCCTCTCAAGCTCTGTCAGGTTGGATGGGGAGCGTCGCTGCACAGCTATTTTCAAGTTTCCAGAGATGTTGAATTGGGTTCAAATCTGGTCTCTGGCTCGGCCAGTCAAGGACATTCAGAGACTTGTCCCCAAGCCACTCCTGTGTTGTCTTGGCTGTGTGCTTAGGGTCATTGTCCTGTTGGAAGGTGAACATTCGCCCCAGTCTGAGGTCCTGAGCGCTCTGGAGCAGGTTTTCATCAAGGATCTCTCTGTACTTTGCTCTGTTCATCTTTCCCTCGATCCTGACTAGTCTCCCAGTCCCTGCCGTTGAAAAACATCCCCACAGCATGATGCTGCCACCACCATGCTTCACCGTAGGGATGGTATTGGCCAGGTGATGAGCGGTGCCTGGTTTCTTGGTTTCATCAGACCAGAGAATCTTGTTTCTCATGGTCTGTGAGTCTTTAGGTGCCTTTTGGCAAACTCCAAGCGGGCTGTCATGTGCCTTTTACTGAGGAGTGGCTTCCGTCTGGCCACTCTACCATAAAGGCCTGATTGGTGGAGTGCTGCAGAGATGGTTGTCCTTCTGGAAGGTTTTCCCATCTCGGGTTCTTGGTCACCTCCCTCCAATCAAGTTGTAGAAACATCTCAAGGATGATCAATGGAAACAAGATGCACCTGAGCTCAATTTCGAGTCTCATAGCAAAGGGTCTGAATACTTATGTAAATAAGATATTTCTGTTTTTTTATTTTTAATACATTTGCAAAAATGTGTCATTATGAGGTATTGTGTGTAGATTGCGAAAAACATTTTAGAAGAAGGCTGTAACTTAACAAAATGTAGAAAAAGTCAAGGGGTCTGAATACTTTCCGAATCCACTGTACGAGTGTTCTCTTCTAATAACTACCCTTCCCTGTGCTCCTGTCTGTAGGCAGCTCTCCAAGGAGCACCAGGACCTCCAGGGGGCGTTAGACAGGCAGACAGGTCTCAGTCAGAGGCTCACCCAGGAGAAAGAGCAACTCATGTTTAAACTGAAGCACAGAGACTCCTGTCCTACCTTCCCTTCCTTCCCCATAGTGTCTGAGGTCTCCCCCAGCTGATCCACCCACACCGAACAGGACAATCATTTACCTCTGTCTTAATCCTGTCTAGGGTTGCAAGCATGGAGCCTGAATCCGGTAACTTTCCCAAAATTCTAAAAGTAGTAGTTTCAGAAATCCCTGCTTGGAGGATTCCAAGAATCAGGAAGGAATACGTAAGGAGGGATTCCTCCAACCTGAAACTCTTCAAGTGGGATTTCTGAAAAAGCAGAGGATTTTGGGAACGTTTCGGGACTTTTGCAACCCTAATCCTACTTTGACAACCAAAGTCCAGTTACCTCTACAAAGGGCTATAGTCACATGTTTGATGGAACCTGATGCCAAATAATGTTTAAAAAATGTAGTCCAGTTTTATACCTGCTGTGCCTTACAGTACATAATGTTTCTATAGCAGTATGGTGTTCATACAACAGGACTGTTCTTTTTTTTTGTGGGGGGGGGGGGGGGTTAATTGGGCATAGCCATGCACTGTTGGACTTAACTGACACCTGCTGTTCATCGGAGATTCTTATACAACTGACGTTCTCATAGTTGTGTTACTCTTCAACAGATAATATTATAGGTGAATGTGACCAGTGTTCACGTTGATGGTTTGAATTGCAGTTGTAGACGCAGATGTTCAATCGTGTACTACATAGCTAGTAGCTACATCATTTGTTTTATCTACCTTCCTCCTGAGACACTGTTACAACGTCTATCGAAATGTGGTGTGAAGGTTTTACATCACTGAATATGGAATAAACGTTACAGAATATAATGCAAGTGTATATACAATTTAAACAGTTACTTTAGACAACTGCTTTTGTATTGGGATATGTTTGTTACTTTTTTGTTTCATACCATATGGGAAATAGATTGCAGATGAGGACAATTGGTATTTTTGTGACTTGTTTTAAGTTACAAAAGATCCAAAAGCACTTCTCAGTGTTTTAATTAGTATTTCTTCTGATGCACAAGCACTTTTAATCAGTATTTTACTAGTACTAAATGTGAGAAAGGTTGCTGTATTTTTGTTTTGTTTGTTACTCTTGTGTTTACTCCTGTGTTTTACATTTTGTTTGTTTACATTGATTGACATTTTAATCATTTAGCTGACGTTCTTATCCACAAAGGCAGCGGATAGATCTAGGAGGATGAGAACAGAGGAGAGAGGGAGCGCTTGAGTCACAATAAACAGCTGCATCTGAACCACTGGACTTCGTGTTTGTGTGAAATGTGTCAGTGTCTCCACTAGGGGGCAGGTTGTGTGAAATGTGTCAGTGTCTCCACTAGGGGGCAGGTTGTGTGAAATGTGTCAGTGTCGTCCACTAGGGGGCAGGTTGTGTGAAATGGAATAAGCTAGTGTTAATTGTTTTAAACTTTTTATATTCCATCTGACAGAGAAGTCGTGTTCTCTAGCAGTATTATTTAGTGGGTATTATATTCCTTTTCATACCAAAAGGCTCTTCCCAGGTATTTAAAAAATGCTTTTAGTGATAACTTACACATAGTTACAGTTTTTTACAATCACTTTGGCACTAATTTCAGAACCTTGATGTCATTTTTCAAAACTTTAGACACAACTCACAACCAATGATCAAAACTCAAAAAAAAATTCAATTTGCTTGGATACAATACACATGAAACTAAGATCATTTGTTCATTTAACAAAAATCACCTGTTCAATATGACACAACTTAACATCAAAGTACTACTATTTCAAAAGGCAATTCACACATTACATTTCAGATGAGTGTCTATTAATTTAATTACAATTAGCCAACTATCAATTGATACAACTGCTCAAAATGATAAGTAACTGTTGCATTACTCTTAATGCATAGTTGTATGGAAACAGACAAACAATATTCCATGTTTAGATCATGAAAGTTTCAAGATAACGAAATTCATTGTCACCAATTAGCGTGGAGCATGAACCAATTAGACTACATTATGTATGGATGTAATATTTCATCATCATTCTTTATCAGACACCGTTTCTATGGTCCCATGTACCACCTTTTCAGACTATTTACAGTATTGACAGTACTGCACTGTATGGATGCAGGCCCTTGTGATTGCTTGTCCAATTCTGCCAACTCGTTACTGATGATTGAGTTCACATTGTGGAATGAGTATATAAAGAATTGATTGGGATCCACTTGCAACAACATAGCGATACGTACTGTAACATGGAGCCGGCAGGTGATCCAGGTCACAATAGAGGTCAAGCAGTGGTGGGAGGAAGACGTGTTGGTCAAAGGAATGGCAGGGGACAAGCACCCCTTCTGAGAGGTGGTCGTGGGCCTCGTTTGAGAGGTGTGGGGGAACGTGGAAGAGGACAAGGCCACGGACCAAGACAGCGGCAGCAACAGCAAAGAGTGTCCAATGAAATCCGAGCAATAGTTGTAGACCATGTCATAAATCATGGCATGACAATGACTGAGGCGGCTACAATGATACAACCAAACCTCAGAAGGTCAACCATGGCCTCAATAATCAGAACTTTCCACAATGAGAACCGGTAAGTCGTCAGCATGCACTAAACATTATGCTACTCTCAATTGTCAAATGACTGTATACCAATGTGTATCACAGAGTAGGTGATGTGACCAAGTGTCTTCTTACTGTAATGTTCCCTGTAGAATTGAGACTAGGGCCAAATAGGGGAGACAAAATTCTGACTGCCCAACAAAAGCAGGCTGTGGTCGATTTGGTTCGGGACAGAAATGATATTCGCCTTACAGAAATTCGCCAGCATATCTTGGACAATGAAGACATGTTTAACAATGTGGAATCCATAAATTTGCCGACTATTGCACGCATGCTGAAAAGGGACCAGGTGTCTTTAAAACAACTATACCGTGTGCCTTTTGAAAGAAATGCAGACAGAGTGAAGCAAATGAGGACTGAGTATGTTCAGGTATGTTCAGTTTCAAGATGGCTGTTATAATAAAATTCCCTAATAATTCTACATTGTACAGTAATCAGTAAATCTCTTTCCAAAATGTATTTTTAGAGGGTGATGGAGCTGGATGCTGATGACAACCATCACAAATTCATATATTTGGATGAGGCAGGCTTTAACCTGGCCAAGACAAGGAGGAGAGGTCGACAACCATCCAAGTACCTGGACAACGTGGGGCCAACATTACCATGTGTGCGGCTATATCAGAAGATGGTGTGGTGGGACGCAGACCTCGTATTGGATCATATAATGCAGCTCTCCTTGTAACCTTCCTTGATGAGCTCGATCAGGTCTGTAGAGATGATGGCGTGACCTATGTCATTGTGTGGGATAATGTCAGGTTCCACCATGCTCATATGGTGCAAGCATGGTTTCAGGCCCATGCACAATTTGCCACCCTGTATTTACCCCCATACTCTCCTTTCCTTAACCCGATTGAGGAATTTTTCTCCACATGGAGATGGTAGGTTTATGATAGGCGCCCTCATGAACAAGTCACTCTTCTCCAGGCCATGGATGACGCATGCAATGACATCACGGCAGACCAGTGTCAGGCCTGGATTCGCCATGCCCAAAGATTTTTTCCAAGATGTTAGGCTAATGAAAACATCCATTGTGATGTAGATGAGAACCTGTGGCCAAATCCACAAGACAGAGTTGATGAAAATGTAGAAGTACAGTAATCACTCCTATGTTTTGCTTTTTACAGTACAAGCAAGCAAGTTGAGGAACACTGCATTTGATGTTTTACAGTACTGTATTGTTTTTCATCAATATATTTCAGATTTTGTTCAATGATTCCACTGTGTCTGTAGTATTCTCTCTACTACTGCAGTACTTTTACAGGGATGTATTTACATGTAGTACAATATTTAATGATTGTACGAACAATGACACAGTGAACCTATCGGTTGCTTGTGTGTGGGTGATCTAAATTAACGTTTCATTGGTATTTCACAATACATTTGTTTTTTTGAACCAATGATTGTGCAAGTGCAATATTTCTTTAAAGATATGAATGCACAATGCAATGTTTTGAACATTGGACAGCCTGTGTTACAAGTGATGACCGTTTTGAGTTTTGTGTCTAGAGTTTTTAAAAATGACGTCAAGGTTCTGAAATTAGTGCCAAAGTGATTGTAAAAAACTGTATTTTCCATACTGTGTGTAATGTACTGGGATAAACGCTAGGGGGCAGAACATGACAGTTGGTTGGAAAGAGTTGATGGGTATTACTTTGGCGATGTCCTGACCTGTTTATCGTCTGTCACCTTTTTTATTACTCCAGTGTGTTTTCACTGAAAGAAAAAGGCCGTCACAACGAACATTATGTATTTGTCTAATCCACGTGAAAACGTGAAAGTGCAGAAAAGATACTGACAATGTTAATGCGTTATGGTATACTTTATAATGTAGAAAGGGTTTATAAGTAGTTTAGAAATGGTTAATGAACTATTAATTAGTTCATAATTTATGCACTAATTTACCCTACAGTCATGACCTCCTCATCCACTCCCATTGTGTGTTATAATGAGGTGATTTAAGAAGGTGTCGGATGTGACTGACAACAACCACAAAGGTGAAGCTGACTGACACATTCATTGGTGACTTTTGCACCCTGGTGCTTGAGAAGAGGAGGTGAAAGTGGGACAACCCTAACCCCTCTCACCCCCCTCTGTCTTGTTGCGGCCGGCAGCGGAACCGTTCGCTCAGCGGATGTAAAAGGATCACTATGTCAATGGATGTTTGACAAGCCAGGACAATACCTGGTGGGGCTCCACGCTAACTGCAGGTCAAACCCCCGGCTGTGGTGTCACCCAGTTCCCAGGGCATTTCACAGTCACCTGGGAGGACTGGAGGAACACCTTTCTACGTTTGCGTCCCAAATGGCACCCTGTGCAGTAATGCAGCATCCTGTTACAACTCGCAGTCACAATGAGGAGCATGTCAACCCCACCTGCACACAGACAGACACAGCCTAGCTAGCATGACAACTAACCCTAGACTGGAGGCTGAACCTGTGAATGCTGAAACGGTGGCCTGTCCTTTGTCT